TCTCTCTCTCTCTCTCTCTCTCTCTCTCTCTCTCTCTCTCTTTGTTGTTGTTGTTTTGTTTTGTTTTTCAAGACAGTGTTTCTCCGTATATCCTTGGCTGTCCTGGAACCAGCTCTGTAGATCAGGCTGGCCTCAAACTCACAGAGATCCTCCTGCCTCTGACTCTCGAGTGCTGGGATTAAAGGCATGTGCCATCACCACTTGGCAAGATTTTTCTATGTAGAAATAAATGTTCATGGCAGTATATTATTATATATACCAGTAATATATATATTACTGGTAATAGACAAAAAAAATGTAAGCAGTTCAAATTTCCATCAACTGAGTGAATAAAAAATGTGATATATCCCTACAGTGGAATGTTATTCATCAATAAAATGGAATACTAATAATTCTATGGTATAAACAAGCCATGAAGATATGTAAGCAAAGCAGGCAAACCCATAGAGATGCAGTATTTATTTATTTTGGTAGGACTAGGGAGAATGGAAATAAGGAGGATAGTTTAAGTCTGTAGTTCTCAACCTTCCTAATGATGTGACCATGTAATGCAGTTCCTTGTGTTGTGGTGACCCCAACCATAACATTATTTCATTGCTACTTCACAACTAGTTTTGCTACTGTTAATGAATCATAATGTAAATATCTGATATATAGGATATTAGATATGGGACCCTTGTGAGGATTGTGACCCACAGGTTGAGAACTGCTGGTTTAAGAGAAAGAAATCTCTGGCATGATGGGATGTCCCAAGGTTGATTGTGAATATATATATATATATATATATATATATATATATATATATATATATATATATATATATAATTGAGAGTACCACACAGCACTGGATTGTGTATTCAGTATGTTTGCAAATAGCATTTCAATAAAGCTGTTTTAAAAAGAAAATTGATCAAACTTTTTAATCCACAAATTAATGCAAAAGACAAGGCTGCCTCTACAAACTAATGTATACTTCCTATTACAGTATTTATTTCTTTTTTAAAAAATGAATGTATTCATGCATTTGTGGAGGACAAAGAGCAACTTTGTAAACCATCCTTAGGAATATCATCCTCCTTTGAGACAGCTTCCTTCATTAACCAGGGGACCACTAATTAGGCTAGACTGACTGGCCAAGAAGCTTCAGGGTTCCTTTCTCCACTTCCCCAATACTGGGATTACTCACACACATACCACCATGAGATCAGACTTACTCATGCTTATAAAGTAAGC